TAGAAACTAATCCCCTCTGTTGCATTGTCCCAATCTAATAGAAGCTGCGGCTTCTAATACAGATTTTACAGTAGGTGTATTTTGCTCCAGTCCAAATTCACTGCATTTTTGTTTCGAATATGGTGCAAAATCTGTAGTTGAGACGCATTATCTGAGACGCTCACTTGATGCGCACAAAATTTCAGTACATCACTAAAAGTTTTATGATGCCAAAACGTGAACCTCTTTACAATGCATTTCTATGGGCCATTTGTAAGATGCTGTTGATTGCTGACAGAGGAACACGTGAAAACAGCTAAAGTAGCACATGTAGGAGAATTTGTCAATATTTATGAAAATATAAAACTTATATTAGGATGTTGTAACTCAAGAAACTGTATAAATATTGGCAATTATAAAGTGGTCAAAATAAAGAGTTACAGTGAAGGGCAGAAACCCGGGGATGTTGTAAACATTCTATAAGTACAAATCTTACTGAGGTCTGTCTACATTTAAAAAATTAAAAGTCAGGCTACAAAAAATGTAGCTATTTTTCAATGAGAAGTCAAAAATACAATTTTGTTAATACCAAAAATGACAAGTATTTAACAAAACAAGAGGAGAATTGATTGTAACATCACAAAATAAACAAATTTGACTAATGTTCACCTAAAGTATCTACATAAAGCAATTTACATTTACAAGAAAAAGTCAAAAAAGGTATTTTTTACCAAAAAAGACAAATATTCTTCATAATTAAAATAAGACAAAATTAAAGGGGTCTTCACTTTCAGGTTAGTTCTTCTGCCGATTTCTCGCAACCATGATTTTTTTATTTGGGATTTCGAGAAACTAGACTAGTACTAGAGTATAGAATGAATGGGTTCAATTATCAGTGTTCACTGATGACATCATTTGACTGGCTCTCTAGAGGCAAAATGACGCCAGGCAAAGCGGACGTTTGTCGTCTGCTTCACAGCCCATTTTATACCCGACATTTAGGGCATTTTGCAGCACATACAAGTTGTTTTTATCCAGACCTTTGCTCCTCTTTTACTAATCTCAGAGGGCCACCTAAGTTACCTAATAACTAATATCAAAGCAATCAGACCACCTAAGTTATAACTAATAATTTATATTAAAGTGCCTGTGCAATGCCCACCCACACGCTTCCCATTTTAGATCTGTGCCCCACTGAAATG